TTCTTTGTCAGTAGGTTTTTAATTACATCTCGTATTTCATTGTCTGTTATTGGGCTATTGAGAGTGGTTATATCTTGTTGATTCAGTTGTGGTAATTTGTATCTTTCTAGGAATCTGTCCCTTTATTCTGTGTTTTCTATTCTGTGAGAGTAAAGATTCTCAAAGTAGGTATTGTAATCTTCTGCATTTGCACTGGGTCTGTAGTAATTATACACTTTTCACTCCTTATTGCTTGTATTTGAATTTTTTCTTTCCTCTTTTTGATGAGGACAGCTATGGACTTTTCAATTTTATTTAATCTTTCAAAGAAGCAGCTTTTTGCTTTTTTAATATTTGGATTTTTTTTTCATCTCAATTGAGTTAATTTCTGCTCTAATCTTTATGATTTCTTCCTATCTTCGGGCTCTGTGTTTGGTTTGCTCTTCCTTTTCTAGTTGTTGAAGGTGCAGCATTAGGGTATTTATTTGTTCCCATTGTGTTTTCCTAATATGTGAGTTCACAGCCATGAATATCCCTCTGAGAACTGCTTTCATTGAATCCAATAAATTATGTTAAGTTCTCCTTGAATTTTCATGAAATTGTAGATATTGTTGAATTTCTTGTTTAATTTCATCGGTGACATTGGTTGCTGAGTAGGGTGTCATTTAATTTCCAAGTATACAAGGGTTTTTCTCTGGCTTCTTTTGTCCTTTATTTCCAGTTTCATTGCACTGTGGTCAGATAATGTGCATGGGATAATTTCTGTTTTCTTACATATACTTAAGCATGACCTATGACCAGTATGTGATCTATTTTAGAAAATGACCCATGTGTAGCTGAGAAAAATGTGTATTTAGCTGTGTTTGGGTGAAACACTGTATATGTCCACCAAGTCCATTTGTTTCAAGCTCTAGTTCAGGTCTGTTATTTCTTTGCTAAGTTTTTGTCTGGTTGACCTATCTTTTGGAGATAAGGGTGTGTTAAGTTCTCCTGTTAAAACTGTGGTATTGGATATTAGATTTTTCATGTCCATTAAATTTGCATTATATAGTTTGATGCTCCCATGTTTGGTGCATACATACATATGAGTATTACCTCTTCCTCTTGAATTTTTCCCCTAATCAGTATATAGTGGCCTTCTTTATTTCACTTAATCATTGTTGGTTTGAAGTTGAGACTGTCTGAGAATAGGATTGATAACCCTGCTTTTTTCTGAGTTGCTGGGGTATGTAGTATTGTGTTCCATCCTTTGACTTTCAACCTATGAATATCTTTATGAGTTAAATGTGTTTCTTGTATACAGCATATTGTTGGATTTTGTTTCCTAATCCACTGTGCCAGTCTATTTCTCTTAATTGGTGAATTGAGTCCATTTACATTGATGGTTGGCATTGAGATGTATTGACTTACGGTTGACATGTTATTTACCTGTTGTCATTTACTCCTTTTTCTCCTGTGTTTAATTGCTTGCCCTATTCAGTTGGTTGTTTCTGATCTCATTTTTGGAGTTCCAATCATTTTGGTCCCTCTCTAGAACATCTTTCAGTAGCCTGTGTAGGGTTGGCTTTGTCATCATGAAATTCTTTATCTGTTCTTTTTTATGAAAGTATTTCACTTCTCCATCAAACTTGAAAGAGAGTTTTGCTGGGTATAGTAGTCTGGGCTGGAATTTGTTTTCGTAGAGGACTTGAAGTACTCTGTTCCATGTTCTTCTTGCCTTCATGGTTTGTGAAGAGAATTCAGCCGTAATTCTGATAGGTTTTCCTTTGAATGTTGCCTGCTTCTTTTTTCTACTGGCTTTCGGTATTTTATTCTTGTGCTGAATTTCTGGGATCTTGACTATTACATGTCTCGGTGTGTTTTTAATTGTGTGAGGTTACTTAGTGTTCTGTATGCTTCTTTTACCTGAATATCAGATTTTTTTCTTCATATTGGGAAATTTTCTGCTATTACTTCTGCCCATATTTTTTTAATGTCATTTTTATTGACTCCTTCTTTCTCATTGATGCCTATTAGGCTCACATTGTTCATCTTTGCATCATCTTACAGGTGATGGATTATTCTTTCCTGCATCCTAGTTTTTTTAAGAGATCCTTTCTTACCTTTTCACTAGCTGCACCAGCATCTTCAAGATCTGAAACTCTGTCTTCACTTTCACTTAAACGGTTTTGCGAGCTTGTGATTGAGAGTTTAATTTCCTCTATATCTCTTTGCTTCTGCTTCATGAGATCTATTTATTTCCTGTATTGCTCATTCAAGGAATCCGTCATTTTTCTAATCTCTATTTTTTTTTATCAATGTCTTCTTTAGAAGCAGTTATAAATTCTTTTGCTGCAGTGTTTTTTTCAGATTGGGTTTCCTCCCTATGTTTGTGTAATTGATTCTTTACTTCAGATGCTGTGAGTTCTGAGAATTCTTTTTTTTTATTTCAGAAAAGAATTCCACTCTGAAAACCTCTATAACTTTCTGCTGTTGTTTATTTACTATCGACACTATTAATTCATAAATTTGTGCTGAGCTAGTGTCCTCTGCGCTTGTACTGGGTGAGCTTTGGGTTTCCTCCATATGTTTCTGCATTTGATTCTTTACTGCAGATGTTATTAATCCAGGGATTTCTTTTTTTATTTCCAATCTGAGTTCCTCTATACTTTTCTGCAGCTGTTTCTTTATTTCAGAAGTCTTGGATTCATTGCTTTCAGCTGTGTGATTTCAATTTGTTCTGTTTTAGTGTCCTCTGCACTTGTTATGGGTGGGTTAGGGTTCTGAGATTGCATTTTGCTCCTTGTCATTGTCATTTTGTGTAGCACTGTCTTCTGACCTTTGTTGTAGATCTTTGTTGCAGTTATAACCTTAGCATGTACTGAAGTTCAGGTGCAGATCTTCATAGTTTGGATTTATCCAGCTGCGCTTGGCTTGGGTCTGGCTGCTGTGCTCAGCTCCTTCCTGCTGCTTCCATTGGGGGTGAACCTGTTGTGCCCTTGTGGCAAGATGTTCTGCTCCTGGACTAGCTGGGTGGTTCTATCCTCTACACTCTCTGCAGGGATTGCAGCTGCAGGGTTTCCCCCAGGCCTGTATGCTAGGCCTGAGCTAAGTCTGGAGGGGACAAGGTTGAATGAGGAGGAGAGTCAGCTCTCCCACACCCTCACTGGTCCTGGAGTAAGATTGATCTTGGAGTTCCGGAACGGGACAGAAATTCCTACAATTTGGCAGGGTGTGCGGGCATACTATGGATTGATGGGATTTGTCTCAAGAGGATGAAAGAGGGTGTCACCCAGGATGTACCTGGGCTTGGACCAGTAGGTCACACCAGCACAATGTAACTGGAAGCTCTCCCACACACTCACTGGGCCTGAGCTAGGATTGGATCTATGTGTTCCCAGAAGCTGGCAGAAATTCCTACTGGGCAGGTGGGCTGGGGGAGATGCTGTAGAGTGATGGGCATCATCCTAAGGGGGTGGAAGAGGGTCTCATTCATGCTGAGCCTGGGCTGGGAACAGTAGGTCACGCCAGTGCAGGGTAGCCAGAAGCTCTCCCAACACTCACCGGGCCAGGGCTAGAACTGGTTGGGGGTTCCTGGAATGCGTCAGAAATTCCTACTCAGCGGGTGGGGTGGGGGAGGTGCTGCAGAGTGTTGGTGGGTGTCCCAAGGGGGTGGAAGAGGGTCTCACCCACGCTGAGCCTGGACTGGGATCAATAGGTCCCACCGGCTCAGGGTAGCTGGAAGCTTTCCCACACACTCATGGGGCCTGGGCTAGGACTGGATCTTGGTGATTTCTTTTGACATGCAGAAACTTCTCAATAAGATGAGAACCCAGTTGTTCATTCTTTGAAGAATTTCCCATGCAGTCTGGTTTTTGTTCATGAACTCTCTGCCTACCCTCATGTCTTCAAGATTTAAAAATATGGAATGTTTCACAAATTTGTGTTATCCTTGCACAGGGACTACACTAGTCTTCTCTTTTGTCATTCCAAGTTTAGTATATGTGCTGCTGAAGTGAGCACATTCTACTTCGTTTTAAATGGCAGTATGACAGTGTACTAAAGAAAACAAGCATTTGAAATTACATAACTCCCTATTTTGTTTTCTTTTCTTTTTTCCCTTCCTGCTTACCTGCATTTCTCCTTCCCTCTTTCACTCCCTCCCTCCCTCCCTCCCTTCTTCCCTCATCCCACTCACTTTCTTTCTTTCTTTTTTTCTTTCTTTCTTTCTCTTTCATTTTTCTTCCTTCCTTCCTTCCTTCCTGTTCTGCCACAGGGTCTCACCACTACATAGTTCAGACCTGGTCTTGAAGGTGATCCTCCAACTTCAGCCTCACCAGTCCTGGGATTATAAGCATTTGCCAGCACTTCCAGCTACTCCATGTACTCTTATTTCTTTCTATAATCCCATCTTTGTCTTCTTCACCCTCAAGGAATTAATCCTCCAAAGGAAGTACGCATTAAATTCAGAGGTTATGACGATCATCTCCATTGGGCATGCAGAGGAACATCACCTCCTGTCCTGTTTGTCGAGGCAGCTCTCTTGGCCCTTTGCCTGGCATGCAGGCTCACTCTCAGCAGTCATTCTCTATCCTCTGGGCTATCACTTGTCAGCTCTATGTAACACCTTGTGCTGACTCTCCCTCGTATTTTCAACATCTTTTTAAGGGATAAAATAGGATTCAAAATAAATAAGTTATGTCTGCATTTCACTTTTCTGGTCAATTATAGTATTTTTCTAATTCTGCAATTATCTACAAATTGACTCAAGGCTAAAAGATACTCTCACAAAGGCAGATTCTAAAAGGAAGGCAGAGACTGGGAGCCAGGAAGCAGACAGGTGAAGCTGTGTATACATCTCAGAACTTCATCCCCAAACTTCATTATCAAACCAAGTCAAGTAACCAAGGTCAGAAGAGAGTCTCAGTCACCTCTGAGGAGCAGGACCTTCAAGGTCTTTATTTATTAATTCCTACAGAAGTAACAAGAACTATGGAGTGCTTAGCTAATGCTCTGAGAGCCAGTATTACAGGCATACAGTTTTAATGAAAAGTATTTGGGTAATTTTTTGCCTTATAAATAAAAGATGCAATCTTTATATTTGCTGTAAATCTGGTGTTTCTATGGAAAATTGGGCTCTTGCAAAAAAAAATCAGTTCAGCAGAAAGGGAAATGGAGAGGTAATGACTTTGTATCGTTTATCAAATCTGCTTTTACTTTTGGCACAGAAGATGGAAGAATCCCAGACATATTTTTCTCTTTTCTGAGACTGACCTCCCCTCACTGTCTGCTGCTGTGTTTTCTGAAGCTTTGTACCCTTACACTAAAGTAGAATTATTATTCATCAGCTTTGGAGAGTAAGGAGAAAAGAAAAAAAGGAAATAGAAACCAAATAAAGTGTGGGTTTGAGCAGAAAGAATTTTGTAGAAATGTGTTACTAAAGTTTTCAAAAATGCCTCAGAAGTCAGTTGATGTACTAAAATGAAATGTGTAGTATGATCACAAGTTTTTCAGCAAGATTCAAGCCATAGGTCTTTGGTTGAAGGAGACACTGAAAATTATTTAGTTCAGTCATTTTTATATCTCAACTTGATGTCATGGCCAAAACAAGAGCCTCTCATCAAAAGAAGAGACTCCTCTTAAGACATCCCTTTTCAAAACTGTGTTAGAAAATGTCTACCTGTTAGTCATTTCTCATTCCCATGCCAGGATTGGATGTTCTAGGACTCGCACATCAGGCATGATCCATCCTGCCTGGGAACTTCCAGTCTGTCTGAGGCTGGTCTTAGTATTGTTTCTGTTGAAATCCTAACTCCAAGAGGAAGGTATCAGTAAAGGATTTGCTCATGAGAGCATCAGCCTCCTCATCGGAATTAATGTCATCTTAAAAAAGCCAAAAGTGAGACTCGGAACCTCTGAACCTCAATACCATGTGAGGTCAGAGGAAGAGGTGCCATCTGTGAACCCCACCAGGCCCTGAAGCAGCCATGATCTCTGACTTTCAGCCTTTAGAGCCATGAGATGTAAATTGCCACTGTATTTGTTATAGTAACCCCGATGGACTAAGACTCAGAGCTGATGTGATTTGACAGACAGGAGGAGGAAGCCTATGGCCTGCAAGAGAATAAGGCAGCCAGGAAGCAAAGCCAGGGGTGAGGAGCCCAGTCTGTGAGTCTGGGGAGGCCTCCCTGAGGAGGCGATTGTCTTCTGAAGGATGAGGGGAGTTGGTTAGGCCAGCTCGATCCTCCTGCTTGGGGCCACAGGGGATATGCCTAAAGCCTGTGCAAATGACAGCCTTCCACATACTGAAAGACAAGCCTGTCTCTTTTTTTAGTCCTGTTTTATCCTGGCTAATATTTTCTTTTCTTTTTTAAAAATAATTTCATTGAGAAACAAATAGCAATGAGACAGTTTCAAAAGCGATTAGTAGGAGAGTTTAAAAAATTAATACATTGCATATGGTTGTCTTCATAGTGGTTATTCATAGTACAAGATGTGGACATGATATCTTGTCCAAACACTTTTAGTACAAATCTTTCTTCTCATTGAATTAAGAGAAAGTAGTTGTATATCTATCCTATTTTGTATATACAGGTGCAAAATGGTCCTTCATTTGTATCCCTTTTTTTTGTTTAGTTTTGTCAGAGATGGGCATTCTATTGCCTGGCTAATATTTTCAAGTTGTAGTACTATTCTTCATTTGACATGGAACTCACTATATTCAGTATTTTAGCATTATATGTTCAAGTGTTTCACCTAGAAACAAAATGTTCTGGATAAAGTCTAGACAGTCTTGACTGAAGCAGGACTGTCATCTTCCTTATGAGTCATCGTAACGCTTGTAATGTGGCCTCACAGTATATTAAGCCTTAGCAAGCACATGATTATGTCACCGTGTCCTTATCAGCAATTTAGAATTTCACCAATATCTATAACACTGTTTTTGTGACGCCATCTTTCCCTTTTACTTATATTTTTCCAGTAAGTGTTTTTGAACCCTGGTGTGCAATGTCCATTTGCCCTATTAAATCTTACTACTTCATTTGTCTCCAATCATTCAAGTTGTCAAGACCTTTCTTGCCATCTGATGCTGACTTCTATCTAAGCTTCCCAGATTCATGTGATGCCTTTTAGTATTCTCTGAGATTTCATGGAAGTTCTGTTGCGTGGGGCAGAAAGATCCAAGTGCCATGGCCCCCAGTGTGACCACCACTGCAGTAGAGATGGGCACGTGAGAAGCTGGGTGAGGACAGTTAACTAACTGCAGGTTTCCTAATCGTACCACACTCTGATTCACATCATAATTATGATAATTTTACAAGTGAAGGATGGTATTTTCCAGAATGAACACCTCCATTAAAATGTTAATGTTCTAGTTTCTGGATATAGCTAGATGCTCACGGCAAAAGTATTTTTTTTCCTTCATGATGCATTGTAGTTTCTAAAATTGCAGAAATTTACTACAAGAAAAATGAAGTACAACATTTCTGGGAGGGATACACACAGAGTGAGGAGGCCTGTGCAAATATTCAAAGGGGAGCATTCTCTTTTCCTGAGGCTGCCGTAACAGACCACCAAACCATCTGGCTTCAGAAACAAGATATCTGTGTTTCTGAGGTCAGATGCTTTATTTTGTCTTTTTTTGTTTTGAACTCAGAATTGAATTCAGGACCTCATGCTTGCCAGGCAGGTGCTGTACCACTAAGCTATCATCCAGCCCCATATTTTGTCTTTACATACTGTATCACATTATGTTTTACTGTTTGTTGCTGATTGTACTTATGATGTTATTCTGGGTTGAGTTCTGTCCTTCTCAAATTCCTAATTTAGTGCCCTGTTCCAGTACGATGTGCCTGTGCTTGGAGGTGGAGCCTTTAGAAAAGTACTTCAGTTAGAATGACTTGTGTCTTTGTTACTCTTCTCTCATTGCTGTTACAAATACCTGACACCCAAATTGAAGGAAGGAAAGGTTTATTTAGCTCACAGTTATTGGAGATTTCAATCCATATTCAGCTGGGTCCAAGGCAGAGCAGCAAAAAACAGAAGGCAACCTCTCATAGCCAAGGCAAAGAGCAAGAGGCACAAAAGGAGGAAGAGCAGCAGCTCAAGCAGCTAACTTCTCTTTCCTTCTTACAATGAAATGCAAATTACCTGCCCCAGGGCAGGTGCAGCATCCACACCCACAGGAATCCATCACAGACTCCAGAAGCCGCCCCAAGACTGCATGAGGCTTTGGGGGAACAACCATACATACACAAACCATAACAACTTGTTATGGCAAGCTCTGATCCAGCCTTACTGTGTCCTCGTGCAAAGGGAAATTGGGACGCATAAAATGACCCTTGGCCTGGGTGGCACCACAAAAAGCCTGTGTGAGAATGAGGCAAGGAGGGGGCCATCAGCAAGCAGAGAGGAGCTGCCTTCAAAGAAAGTAAACTTGCCAGAATTGTGACTTGGGCGCAGCCTCTGGAGCAGTCAGAAGATAAATGTCTGTTGGCTGAGCCACCCAGCCTGTGGGGTGTTGTTATTGCAGCCCCAGAAAAATAATCCATATGAGAAACTTCAAAATTAGAAGCAAAGTGAGCATTATACTACAGCCTGAGAGAGCCGTCAATTCGGCCTTAACAGTTATGAACTGGGCAAACTGCTTTGGTAACAGAGTTAGCAGCTAGGTCTGGGGATACCACGTGGATTTTATTCTGACAACAGGATAAAGCTTGGCATCTCTGCCTTTATTTTATTTCTCTCCTCTCATACCTTAAAACTTTGGATCAGATCCCTGCTCAGCTCTGCACACACATATGTTAATAACTGGATTGTCTGTATTACACTTTATTAGCCCTCAATTTATCTAGCCTGTCACACCGGGCTGGGGATATAGCTCAGGAGCACCTGCCTGGCAAGCGCAGATTCCATCTCCAGTATGGCCAAAACAAAAAAGCCTCAGGGTTCCAAGGTAAAAATAAAGTAATCTTTAGGATTTTCAGGGACATCTATTGATTGCTTTCTAGTTCCAAATCCCC